TAGTTCTCACCTAAAGATATTTTTCCCCATTGCTTTTTCAGAGAGAATAGAAGGGAGGGAGGGAGGAGAGGAAGAGAGGGAAACATCAATTGGTTGCCTTCCACAGGGGCCAGGGATCGAACCCTCAACCCAGGTACGTGCTCTAGACCCAGAATGGAACACGAGACCCTTCAGTGCATGGGACAATGCTCTAACCACTGACCACTCTGGCCAGGGCCAATTTTTTAAATCTTCATCCAAGGATATGTTTATTGATTTTGAGAGAAAGAGAGAGAAACATCAATGTGAAAGAGAAACAAGGATCGGTTGCCTCCCATACGCGCCTGACCTTGAGTTTAACCCACAACCTTTTTGGTGTAATGCTCCAACCAATTAAACCCGGGCTTAATTTTTTAAAATAAAATATCTCAAACATATAGAAAAATAGATGTGGGTGTTTTTTTTTTTGTTAATCCTCACTCAAGAATATTTTTTCCATTGATTTTTAGAGAGAGTGGGAGGGAAGGGGAGAAACGAGAGAAAGAAACATGGATGTGAGAGAGACACATCAATTGGTTGCTTCCCACACACACTCCGGACCAGGGCCAGGGATTGAGCCTGCAACCGAGGTACATGCCCTTGACAGGAATCAAACGCTGGCTGATGCTTTATCCTGAGCAAAACTGGCTAGAGCAGAAAAATAGTTTTTATAAGAAACATTCCTAAGCCCATCAACAAGATGCACTAAAAAAAACCTTCTGCTAGCCCTAGCCGGTTTGGCTCAGTGGATAGAGCATTGCCTGTGGACAGAAGGTGTCCTAGGTTTGATTCCAGTTAAGGGCAAATGCCTGGGTTGCAGGCTCAATCCCCAGTAGGGGGCATGCAGGAGGCAGCTGATCAATGACTCTCTCTCATCATATCTCTCCCTCTCCCTTCCTCTCTGAAATCATAAAAAATATTTAAAACAAACAAACAAACAAACAAACAACAACCCCATTCTGCTACATTTCATCCTCCCCCTTCCTGGAATTAACCGCTGTCTTGTAGCTATTGTGCCCCATCCTCTTCTATCTGTATATTTATTATACGTACGTGAAAAACCTTAAAGGAAGGACCCAAAGACTGGAATAAATGGAAAGCTCAGTTCTTGGATAGGAAGACTCAACAATATTAACTGATTAATGTAACATATTCCCAATAAAAATACAAACTGCTCAATCAACTCTTTGTCCAGAATTGGGCAGTTCTAAAGTTTATATGTACAACTAGATAAACAAATTAAATAATCTGAGAAACTGGGGGGAAAAAAACAACAATGAAAGGGGATTAGTTCTACCAGTTATTAAAACATCAAGTCTCGCCTGGCTGGCGTGGCTCAGTGGTTGAGCGTTGACCTATGAACCAGGAGGTCAGTTTGATTCCCGGTCAGAGCACATGCCTGGGTTGCGGGTTCAATCCCCGGTGTGGGTGTGCAGGAGGCAACCAATCAATGATTCTCTCTTATCATTGATGTTTCTATCCCTCTCTCCTTCTCCCTTTCTGAAATCAATAAAAAATATATTTAAAAAAACACCCCAGCAAGTCTCAATATAGTTTGGGTTACATGGGTGTATACATTGGTCAAAACTCAAAGGCTAGCCCAGCTGGTGTGGGTCAGTTTTCGAATGTCGACCCATGAATTGGGAGGTCACGGTTCAATTCCTGGTCAGAACATGTGTTGGGTTGAGGGCTGGATCCTCAGTAGGGGGCGTGCAGGAGGCAGCCAATAAATTATTCTCTCTCTGTTTCTATCTCTTTCTCCTTCTCCCTTCTCCTCTCTGAAATCAATTAAAACAAAATTCAAAGGATACACGTCTTCATTCACTTTGGGCTTCTGGCTGGGACTGGAGTAACAAGGAGATTTAATCTAATACACCTGAATAACACTAATAACCAACTGATGCTTATAGAACCCAATAGCCAACAATAGCAGAAGTGCACCTGGAACATTTACCAAACTAGACCAAATTCTGGGCCTTGAAACAAGTCTCAAAAAAATGAAAAGGACTCAAGTCATATAAAGTATGCTCTCTGACCATGATGAAATTAAATTAGAAATCAAGCCCAGAATGATATCTTAAAAATCCCTAAATATTTGAAACATGAATAACACACTGATAAATAACACACAAAGCAAAGAAGAAATAAAAGTCAGAAAATATTTCAAACAATAAAAATAAAAATGCAACATACTAAACTTTGTGGGGTGGAGCATTACTTAAGGGAAAATTCATAGCACTAAATACTTGTATTAGAAAAGAAGCAAGGTCTCAAAATCAATGACCTCAGCTTCCACCTTAAATAACTGAAAAAAGAAGAGCAAGTTAAACCCAAAGTAATCAGAAGAAAGGAAATAATGAAGACCACAGTAGAAGTTAAGGAATAGAAGAACCGGGGTTGGCAAACGACATGCTTATAGGTCAAGCCCAGCCCTGTAGCCTGTTTTTATAAAGTTTGATTGGCACAACTACACCTATTCGTGTATGTATTGTCTCTGCCTGCTTTTGTGCTACAGCAGCAACCATGAGACTCTGGCCTACAAAATCTAAGATAGAGAAAGTTTGTTGGTCCCTGCAACAGAAAAATAAAACAAAAAACGGAAAAAGCCAATGAAGCCAAAGGCTGGTTCTTTGAGAACATTAATATTAAATTGGTAAACCCCTAGCCAGGATGATCATGATAAAGAGAAGAAAAATTTACCAACATCAGGATGGGAGGGACATCATTACAAAAATCTATGACAATATTATAAACAGCACTAAGTCAATAACTTAGATATAATGGAGCAGATGAAAATTATCAATTAGAAAAATAAGCTGAATAGCCCTATATCTATGAGAGAAACTGAAATTGTGGTTAACCTTCCTACAAAGAAACTCTAGGCCCAGATGTTTTAAATGTGAATTCTAGTAAACATTTATGGAAGACATAGTATCAAGTCTACAAAACTCTTCAAAAAAATTGAAGAGGAAGAAGTATTTCCTAGCTCATTATATGACAGGGTTACTCATAGACATGACAAGAACAGAACATTTCAGACCAATATCCCTCATGAACATAGATACAAAAATTATAAACAAAATTTTAATAAATCAAATCCAGTGGGGTTATGCCAACAACACAGTTCTTTTAACACTGGAAAAAAAATATAACAAATATCAACATCTATCCCCAAGGTTCATACCCAGATGGCTCTATCATTATTTTTTTTTAAATATATTTTATTGATTTTTTACAGAGAGGAAGGGAGAGAGATAGAGAGTTAGAAACATCGATGAGGGAGAAACATCGATCAGCTGCCTGCTGCACATCTCCTACTGGGGATGTGCCAGCAACCCAGGTACATGCCCTTGACCGGAATCGAACCTGGGACCTTTCAGTCCACAGGCCAACGCTCTATCCACTGAGCCAAACCGGTTTCAGCAAGCTCTATCATTATTAAAGCTATTACATTTCTATTTAAAATAGGCAAAGGAACAAATAACTCATTTTATACACCAGACACTGACACCAAAGCTGGTAGCTACTCAGTGTTCCCACCTTCATGTGGCTCATGTAGTCCCTTCACTCATCTGGGCATCCTGTGACCACACATACCCACTGACGGAATGCAGCAGAAGTGGTGCTAGCCCAGTACCAGGCCTAGCCTTTCAGAACTCTAACAATGCCCACCTTCCATCCTCTTAGCACTGTGGGAGTCCTGAGCTTCCAGGTAGGAAGCCCAGCCAGCTTTCTAGAAAAAAAAAAAACACATGGAGAGACCACACAAAGACAGGAGGCTCACTTGTCTACATGGTTCTCTGTGCTCTGGGAGTAAATATATAGGAGCGAAGTGACTACAGACCCATAGTTAAAATGTCCACATTATTGATCCCATTCACTAGAAAAATTTTCCTTATTCTTTATCAGCAGAAATTTAGCTGAAAATCTGATCTGGCTACCAAAGCAATGGGGAGAAATCATTTTCAACAATGAAAATAATCTGCAAAGGGGAGCCTACTGACCTAAGTAGGTCTATTATGAAAACATACAGATCCACATCCTAGTTTGGAAAGCCTCTCTATGACTTGATTTTGGCCAGAAACATTCCCTTATACAAAAACGAAACTGCATGTATAGTATGTACCAGGTACCAAGCTTCTGAGTCTTTTACATTTGAAAGCCTCTTTCATGTTACTGGGCTGGTAATGGAGGGGATTAGCGGGGAAAGGCCACTGACCACCAGGCAGGACCACTCTGTGCCTCTCCAACCCCTACCATTCATAGATCATCAGACAACAGAAACTTCCCTCCCTTCAGCTGACCAACTCTTCATGTGGCTTTTCTGTCAATGTGAATCTGGGGGAACACTGTACAAAGGTTCTTTCTTAGCCCCAATTTCTATTTCCCTTTTCAAAGTGGCGATACTGGTGCTCACCCTACAAGCTCACAGGCAGGCATGAGCCAGACCACCCACCACTGCTGGAAATGGGCAAATTCATTGTGTCCTTACTTCTTCCTTCCCAAATAGCCAGGCAGTTGTCATTAAACATTACATATACTGAAAACACTTATAGACCACCATCTCCACTTGCCCACATCATCTGAAAACACATACTCCAGAAATTCAGCTCCCTGGCTTACACAATGCACACTGTCAGAAACAACACAAGATGCACAGGGGCCTACTTTATCCTAGAACAGCCAAGGGTAACTCTTATTGTTTAAAAGATTCAAGTGTAGCCCTAGCTGGTTTGGCACAGTGGCTAGAGCGTCGGTCTGTGGACAGAAGGGTCACGGGTTCGATTCCAGTCAAGGGCACATGCCTGGGTTGTGTACTCGATCCCCAGTGTGGGGCAAGCAGGAGGCAGCCGATCAATGATTCTCTCTCATCATTAATGTTTCTCTCTCTCTCCCTTCCTCTCTGAAATCAATAAAAATATATTTTTAAAAAAGATTCGAGTGTAATAAACATTTACTTTCATGAAAAAAACACACAGACATTGTAACTGTAGGAATGTTATAATTATAGATGCAGATTACAAAAAAGAATCCTATACAATAGAAAAACAAACCATTCTCAGCTGAGTATTCCTGGTTATATTAAAGAGTGTCTGTAACCTTTAAAACCAGAGATGGGTGGGCAGAAGGGAAGGGAGAAGAAAGTGTGTAAGTTTTGTGCCTGGGTACAGCCTCGTACCACAGAAGGTCACCACAGGACGTGCTCCAGAACACCTTGTCTAATCAGCGGCTCACACTTCCATCGAGGTAGAAAGTGCTGAGTGAACAGGTGGGGGAAAGAAAGAGAAATGAATGTAAAAGAGTTTTAAATTACATTTCACATCATTAAAAAGCGGCAACTGATTATATATTATTCAAATCCCAGCAGTTATATAATTAAAAGTTAAACTTATAGCATATCTGCTGTTTTCATCTACTGAAACTGATGGTATGCAGAACTGTACTGAATTCTGATTTTATAAGCAAATTCATAGCTTGTTTAAGTTAAATTTAGACTTCTGAATTCTAGTTGGTACTTTCCTTAGGGTTTGCATTTTGAATTCATGCACAGAAAACCCAGGTAGGTGAGATTTTTAGGCACCAGATGACAAGTTGTACAATTCCTTAGGAAGAACAACAAGGAAACCTTTCCATTAAACCTCTTCTAGGATTTGAGTCTGAACATTTATTCTAATAACAAGTGACAACTTTTCTCTTTGTCCTTTTCAAGGATTAAAAGAATTTGTAACCTATGAAGTAGGTGCTGTTCACACACTGTGTTGTGAAGACACCAGTGCCAGCTAACGCTCGTCCTCCATGTCCTGAGAGGGCACCGATTCTCATTCTGAAGTGGAAAGGAGTCTTCTTGTCTGATTCCCTCTCAACACACAGGGGGTTAAAACAGAAGTAAACATTTCCTAAACTTTGGAGCGAGGAGGAACAGGAAGCAAGCTCATGTGAGCAAAGAAATCTCAAAGAAAGACATACTTTGGTAAAAATGAAAAATATTAGAAAGTACAGAGCAAATAGCCTTAGGAAATAATTCAGTAGGAGAAATTATCAAAACTATTCAAGGAAGCGAAATGTAACTTCCGCAGCACTGTGCACCTGAAGGTTCCTCCTCACAAACTCAAAGGTCTTATGCAAGACCCATGACCAAATACATGCCTCCAAACGCGTCATGAAAACACACAGGCCAAGGACTTTTACCTAACATGTTAACTGCATTATTAAAGTCTTTAGAATGAATAATATAAAAAAGGGGGCCTATCACCACCACTACCCCAAAAGAAAAAAAGGGGTGACATATTAAGTTGTTTACAAGTTATTCCAATTTCTTCTAAAAAGAAGGGGTTCTGATTTCTAGACAAACAGATAAATGTTTGCCATACTGATAAGCATAGATGGATGTATGGTAAGAAAATATTTTACTATTAATATTTTATATGATATGGACAGATTCCATAGAAAACTGATTTTAGATGTGGTCAGACATTTTTAGAAGCCCCTTAATACCAACTATAGTAGATTACGTTTTTAAATTTTGTTCCCATTTTTATAATGAAGGGTGGGGCGATACTGAGACACTAAGTTACAAGCATCACCAAGGGGAAGGCTCCTCATGGTCCACACAGAAAACAACTAACACAGGAGCAGGACGAGGGGCTCAGTTGGGTTTCCACCTGCCCCAGCCCCACCCAGGACTCCCTGCCACTGAGCAATCACCACCATCTGGGCACACTGGTGGGAAGATCAGCCATAAGCTTGAGAAAAAAATTCAACCACAGGACAGTGTTTAGGGGAAAGTGACATTTTCTCATATCTTGCTTTATGAGGATAAGCTTTATTCTTGTGAACCAGAGCTTCACACTGGGTCCTCCAGAAATACAGATTTTTATGGAAGCATTAATTTATCAGTATTAATATTAATCCACTAGTATTATTCAATTCATTAGTATCCTACTTCCAAGAGGACACTGGGAGGGAAATTTTGCCTTAACAAAGAGATTTTATTTAGTGTACCCTGAAAATCTGTCTTTAAAATATTCAATCTTTGTTTTAGGAAACTACTCAAGGCTCTAAGGGTATTTGTAAAATAAGAGATCAAGTCACCCTCTCTTAAGGAAATTAGTCCAAAAACCACAAAACCTGAAGCATGCTTTTGCTCCAGGCATAAGCAAAGACACTAACCGGCTGATAACAAGATGGAAGATAAAGAGTGGTTTTCATTAAGTCATTTTTCCTCCTGTATTAATGTGACTACAAAAAATTAAAATAGGATAAATTTAGCTAATATGAAATTAATCTAATGTGAACTTGAAGATTTCTAAGTAAACAATGTTAAAATTATTTTGTAAGGAAAAATTTGATTTGTTACAACTTCAAAGTTTTAGTCTTTCCCTATTAAATTCTGTTAATATATTACTTAGAAAATTTTGATCTATCTCATTATTTGCTAAAGAACTAGGGTTTATAATGTAAAGTACAAGCTAAAAATAAGTGCTTATCACCTGTTAAAATATAATTCAAAGGATCTAAATGCAACATTTTCACAGTGCCTTAACTAGAATAAAGCCCACTGTGATCATTTCCCTGGAAAAGACTTAGTGTTAAATACAAGCAATATTCTAGGAAATTAATTAACCTTTTAATATATGCAACATTTCCCTCAACCTTTTTTTATATTTCTAAAAAGTAGTCTTACACTAACCAAAATGCCTAGATATATAAATGGTTATCACAAGATGATGTTTATTTTGTTACTGCTTTCAACGTTCCCATCATGCAACACTCTTACAAGATTTAAAGTATCTTTAGACAAAAAATACCTGGCTATTTTTTTTTAATAGGACTGAAGTACCATCATCAACTTCAAATTCTCCATAGTCCTTTAGACATCGCACCTGAAAGGAAAAACTGATGTTTTATCTAAATTATTTTTTAATATGAAATGACCACAAAGTAAATAAGGATTATCTAAATACAAAGTAAAAGTATTGGGCTTTCTGTTGGTTTGTATAGTCTCTGTGTACTTGAGCCTCATACTCCTACTGTGGAATGCTAGTGGTTCTAACTGTCCTGTTTTGATGGAGAGGAAGAAGAATGGCTAAATCTCCAATTGTATGTGTGTGTTGTGCCGACAGCAAGGAAACCCAGGGAGCTGCGTTCTTTTCCCTCTGCAAATCCTGAACTACCAAGCAGTTAAAATATATATTTACAAAGAAAAGAGAATGTTCTAGATCAATTCCAACCTGCCTCTTTATGGTTCCCTTCCATGAAATATCAATATCTGAAAACAGACCATAGGTGAGTCTGCAAAACTTGTTTTAAAAAGATTTTTCCAATTTCATTTGACAGACTCTTTCCCAAAAATACTTACAAGTAAACTATGGAAGAGCAGATGCAGACTCATGTTGTAAGAATCAGGAGAGGGTCTTAGTCAGAAGGTGGGAGGCATAAGACTGCCTTTTGATAGACCCTCTACAACTGCAGAGCAAAATGTTCCTAGAGAGAAGGTTACATTCCTGACTATAGTTCCAACTGCTGCCACAGGAAACCAGGACATCTTTTCATCTTATATAAGAACTTAAAACTGGAGTTTATTTTCCTGAGTACTAGGATTAGTATTAGTAAAGCCAACTCAAAAATAAGTCTCAGTCATCCACTTTTCCTAGGTAATTTCATCATGTCTTGTACTTCCTCTGGAATTCTACCATGACTCCTCAAGGTATTTTAACTTAGTTTGAGAAATGCTATTCTAGAAAATTACCTAGTACCAATAACACCTTTTTACTTCTTTAAACAGATTATGGAAAATCGCAGACATATTCAAAAGTAAAAACACTAGCCCAGCTGGTGTGGCTCAATGACTGAGCATCAACCCATGAACCAGGAGGTTGCTGATTTGATTTTGGGTCAGGGCACATGCCTGAGTTGCAGCTAGATCCCCAGTAGGGGGCGGGGCATGTAGGAGGCTGCCGATCAATGTTTCTATGTTTCTATGTCTCTAACCCTTTTCCTTTTTTCTCTCTAAAAATCAATAAAAACTTTTTAAAAAAAAAATAATAAAAAGACTGCCCTAGCTAGTTTAGCTCAATGGATAGAGCGTCAGCCTGTGGACTGAAGGTTTCTGGGTTCGATTCCTGGTCAGGAGCACATGCCTGGGTTGTGGGCTCGATCCCTAGTAGTGGGTGTGCAGGAGGCAGCCGATCCATGATCTGCTCTCATCATTGATGTTTCTATCTCTCTCTCCCTCTCCCTTCTTCTCTGAGATCAATAAAATGATATTAACAACAAAAAAAGTAAAAAGACCAATACTACCAAACTCAATGTCCTATCAACTGGCTTCAACAATTATCAACATCTGGCCAATCTTGTTCCCTTATCTACTTCTAAATTTTGAAGCAAATCCTAGACATAATTTCATTTAATCTATAAATATTTTAGTATCTATTTCTACAAAATGAGATTCTTTTTAAAAAATACAATCTCGCCCTGGCTGGTTTGGCTCAGTGGATAGAGCGTCGGCCTGTGGATGGAAGGGTCCCGGGTTCGATTCTGGTCAAGGGCATGTGCTCATGTTGTGGGCTCAATCCCCAGTCGGGGGCAGGCAGGGGGCAGCCGATCCATGATTCTCTGTCATCATTGATGTTTCTATCTCTCTCTCCCTCTCCCTTCCTCTCTGAAATAAAAAAAAAAAAGCAACACAAAAAACCAATCTCAATACCATTACTGCATCTTATTAAGAGTTATTTTTATTTAAAATATGGAATGCTTCATGAATTTGAATGTCATCCTTGTGCAGGGGCCATGCTAATCATCTCTGTATCGTTCCAATTTTAGTATATGTGCTGCTGAAGCAAGCACTTATTAAGAATTTTTAAGCCCTAGCCGGTTTGGCTCAGCGGATAGAGCGTCAGCCTGCGGACTGAAGGGTCCTGGGTTCAATTCGGGGCAGGGGCTTATGCCTGGGTCACAGGCTCGATCCCCAGTGGGGGGCGTGCAGGAGGCAGCCGATCAATGATTTTCTCTCATCATTGATGATTCTCTCTATTCCTCTCCCTTCTTCTCTAAAATCAATAAAAATATATTTTTTTAAAAAAAAGAATTTTTAAATCATGAAATATCCAGTTAGTATCCAAATTTCCCCATTTATCTCATAAGTTTTTTTAAAGTTGCCATGTTCAAGTAAGAGTCCAACAAAAGCTGCACACTACATGTTACTAATGTCTCTCTGAATCTATAGAGTTCCTTCCCCCCTTTTTCCCTTCTTCTTCACAATTTGTTAAAGAAACTGAACATTTTGGTAGCTTCCCATAAACTAGATTTTGTTGTGGTTTCCTGTGGGTCATTTAACATGTTCCCCTCCCTACCCTGATTTCCTATAAACTGGAAGTTAGGTCTAGAGGCTGGATCATATCAGGTCTGGTTTTCTGGCAAACAGTGTTATGTATGTCCTTTTTCTTGCAAGACCTTATGAAGCACAGAATGTCTGACTATCCCTTTTGGATTTTTAAAAATATATTGTGTCAATATATTTTTATTAATTTCAAAGAGAGGAAGCGAGGAGAGATAGAAACATCAATGATGAGAGCGAATCATCAATTGGCGGCTGCCTCCTCCACACCCCCCATTGTGGATTGAGCCCACAACCCTAGCATGTGCCCTGACTGGGAACTGAACCCTGACCTCCTGGTTCATGGGTAGACACTCAACCACTGATCCACACCAGCTGGCTGACTATCCCTCAGGATGTGTGGGCCCCGAGAAGAAAGATTCATTTGATGTCCTTGAAAATGAATCTATGTGCTGAGATGGACTCCCCATGATCAACGGAGGGCCTAAATTTTCTAATATCATGTGGGCAAAAGGTTTAGAGTTGGTCATGTGGAAAATAATATAATTAATAATAATGCAAAAATAAACTGTTTCACGTACTCACAACTGTAAACCGTCCTTTTGCCCACCCCTGTAATAAGAGCCTAATGGCCACTTGCTGACAGGGACTTCTCCTTCTCACATACTCTGCATACCAGGAAGAGCCAGGAAGACGGAAATCTCTGCTTTATGCACTATGCCACACTAGTTTACACCATCTGAAGGGATGCCCTAGTTTCACCTTTTGAGGAATGGACTGAGAGCTGCCTTGTCCAATTGGAACTATGCAAATTATATCCTTATTTGCATGTATACTAACCAACCAGAATTGCACGATTTGGACCAATCAGAACTGTACAATTTGAAAACCTCATTTACATGAAATGGAACAAAATGGAACCTATGGGTAAGAAAATTTCCTATAAAAGATGACCTCTCCTGCCCTGGCCAGTGTAGCTTAGTTGGTTGGTCCCATACACTGAAAGGTCTTGGGTTTGCTTCTTAGGGCACATACCCAAGTTGTAGGCCCAATCCCCAGTCGGTGTGCGTATGGGAAGCAACCGATTGATGTTGCTTTCTTTCTTTTTTAAAAAAAATATATTTTCATTGTATCAGAGAAGAAGGAAGAGGGAGATAGAAACATCAATGAGAAGGGATAATCATTGATCAGCTGCCTCCTGCACGCCAGGAATCGAACTGCGACCTCCTGGTTCATAGGTAGATGCTCAAACACTGAGCCACACGGCCAGGCCAATTGATGTTTCTTTCTCACTTCGATGCTTCTGTCTCTCCCTCTTCCTTCCTCTCTCTCTTGAAAAAAAATTTTTTTTAGAAAAAAGATGACCTCTCCTTTGTTTCAGTAGAGCAACCCTTTCTTTCTGCCAGAGGCTGTTTCTCCCTGGTTTGCAAACTATTACATGAATAAAGTCTCTCCTTTTTCTGCTCCAATGCCTTTTGAATTTCCTAATGAATGATAAGTTAATCAGTGGGTCTAGGTCCATACCCATTCATTATTTTTTATTTTTAAAAAAATATATTTTATTGATTTTTACAGAGAGGAAGGGAGAGGGATAGAGAGTTAGAAACATCGATGAGAGAGAAACATCGATCAGCTGCCTCCTGTACACCCCCTACTGGGGATGTGCCCGCAACCAAAGTACATGCCTTTGACTGGAATTGAACCTGGGACCCTTCAGTCCACAGGCTGACGCTCTATCCAATGAGCCAAACTTGTCAGGGCCATACCCATTCATTATTAAGGTCTCTATTAACTTTTCACCTAAGGTTTTAGTAACGAATTGCCTCCATGCATTAGGGTTACAAAGTATTATTAATCTAGTTCTTTTATTCTTGGTGCACTTATTAGCAGCAATTCTTCTACAAAAATTTTTTCCTTATAATCTAGCTACCCTGAGATAGAGTTTGTACAGTAAAGGCAGATGGATGCTTGATTCCATTCTTTTATTTATTGCTTTTCAAAGTGAGTTGCAGCCCTCATATTCTCCAAGGGGACCCAAAGAGGTTTTATTTTTTTATAATTGTCATAACTGTTATTGTTTGGTATCATTATGCATTCAGACTTCTAACATAATTGATGTGACTCAATTCAATGCAGTTACTCTTCATTTTCATGCTCAAAGTGCCCCTTCTTTGGCAAGTGGGAACTCCTTTAAATCAGTTCCCAAACTTTAGAGCACTCACATAGACCTTGATACTTTCTGTGCTTTCTAGAAAGACAAGGTATCCCATGTTCAGTTTGTACATTTTTTATTTAAGACCAAGAATTAGCCTTTTTATCCCCAAGGAGTCCTGGTTTTCTTTACTGGGAAATGGCATTTAGACTCCACAATTTGAATGCTCATGACTACTCGGCTGGTTGTTTCTAGGCGTTTTCGGTGGAAAGAGCTAAAAAGTACTTTAACAAAAAGAAAAAGAGATGGCCCTGCCCTGGCAGGTGTGGCTCAGTTGAAGCGCCATTCCAAACACCAAAAGGGGCAGGTTCAATTGCTGCTTAAGTAATAGGTTTGATCCCAGGTTGGTGCGCGTGTGAGGAGGAAACCGATGGATATTTCTCTCACATCAATGTTTCTCTCTCTCTCTCTCTCTGAAATCAATTAAAAATAAATAAATAATTAAAAGGAGATGATTCAACTAGACTCCATGCTGATATTTCAAACTTGAGTTTGGGAATATAGAATTTTCACTTAACTTTTTCATTTTAATATTCAAATCTCTTTTCTCTTATTTTAAAAATCTTGGTTCCTATTGCTATACTTTTTGCTCTATTCTTCAACATATAAATTGTTTCAAAATAACAGTAACTATTATTACTGAGAATATGACTATAAAAATACATTAACATGTTTATAATTCTTTTCATCCTTAGAACATACCCACTAGCAACATACAATCAATTTATGTGTTTTAAAGTAATTTAAAATAATTCCAGTTTGACTAATCCACCAATTTAAAACATAGGTTCATTTCATTTCGCTTTCAAAATTTGTGGGTTGGTTTTCCACTTTGATTTAATAATATATAAAACTAGAAGCCCGGTGCATGGATTTGTGCACCCGTGGGATCAATCGGGCTAGCCTGCAGGTATCGGCCAAAACCCGCTCTCCAACATCCCCCGAGAAGTCCCAGATTTCGAGAGGGCGGTCCTTGGGTGACGCATCCTGGAATTGGGCTCCCTCCTCTCTGGTTCCAGGTATGTATGTCACCTGAAAACCGCAGCCGCCAAGTCACTACAGCTCTGCAGCTCCTGCATTGAGTGGCTGCCCCCTGGTGGTCATTGCACATCACAGTTACCGGTCGGATGGTCACTTAGGCTTAAATCCACTTTTAAGTATACTTACTTCAATATATAAACTTTTGGGAGGTTTCATATCCTGTGTAATATCTAAACCTTCATCTCCTCCCAATGACCTCATATAAGTAGCAAGAGACTTTTTATAATGATTGAACCATTCCACCTGCAAACATAAAAATGCATTTGACAAAGTTTTAAGAAAACAAACTTGCAGAAATTGTATACTCATCTTTTAAAATTAAAATACCAATGGCATATTTCACAGAGCTAGAACAAATATTCCAAAAATGTATATGGAATAAAAAAAACCCTGAATAGCTGCAGCAATTGTGAAAAAGAAAAACAAAGTTGGAAGAATCACAATACCAGATCTCAAGTTATACTATAAAGCCACCATAATTAAAACAGCCAGGTACTGGCATAAGAACAGGCATCAGATCAATGGAACAGAACAGAAAACCCAGAAATCAACCCAACCCAGTACGCTCAATTAATATATATATATATATATACACACACATTCAATTAATATTTGACAAAGGAGGCAAGAACATGCAAAGGAGTCAAGGCAGTCTCTTTAATAAAAGACTTAAATGTAAGTTGGGAAACCATAAAAATTCTAGAAGAAGCCACAGGCAGCAAAATCTCAGACATCTCTCGTAGCAATATGTTTACAGATACATCTCCTAAAGCAAAGGAAACTGAAGAGAAAATAAACAAATGGGACTACATCAAAATAAAAAGCTTCTGCACAGCAAAAGAAACCATCAACAAAACAAAAAGAGAGCCCACTGAATAGGAGAACATATTTGACAATGACACATCTGATAAAGGGTTAATATCCCAAATATAAGGAACTCATACAACTTAAAAGGAAGACAAATAATACAATTAAAAAATGGGCAAAGGACCTAGACACTTCTCCAAAGAGGACATACAGATGGCCAAGAGACATATGAAAAAATGCTCAAAGTCACTGATTATCAGAGAAATACAAATTAAAATGACAATGAGGTATCACCTCACACCTGTCAGAATGACTACCATCAACAAATCAACAAATGACAAGTGCTGGTGAGGATGCGGAGAAAAGGAAACCCCTAGTACATTGCTGATGGGAATGCAGACTGGTGCACCATTATGGAAAACAGTATGGAGTTTCCTCAGAAAATTAAGTATGGAACTGCCATTTGACCCAGTGATCCCACTTCTAGGAATATATCCTAAGAAACCCGAAGCACCGATCAGAAAGAATGTATGCACCCCTATGTTCATAGCAGCACAATTTACAATAGCTAAGATCTGGGAACAGCCCAAGTGCCCATCAGTAAATGAGTGGATAAAAAAGCTGTGGTACATTTATACCATGGATAACTATACAGCAGTAAAAAAAGAAGACTCTCTTATCGTTTGAGACAGCATGGAGGGACCTGGAGAGTATCATGCTAAGTGAAATAGGTCAGTCAACGAAAGACAAGTATCACATGATCTCACTCATATGTGGAATCTAAGTAACAAAATAAACTGATGAATGGAGTGGATCCAGAGACATGGAACAGAGTGCAGAATTTCTGAGTGAAGGCGGGGGAGGGTGGGTGGGTGGGAGGTAATCAACCAAAGACTTTATATGAATATATGTAGAACCCATGGACACAGACAATAGGGTGCTGAAGGCCTGAGGTGGGGGGTGGGGGTGGGCTGAAGGGGGTCAATGGGAAAAAAAAGGGGACATATGTAATACTTTCAACAATAAAGTATTATAATAAATACATACATACATACACACACACATAAAATAAAAATAAATAAGCCTGGCTGACGAGGCTGTGGTTGAGCATCCTCCTGTGAACCAGGAGGTCACCGTCTGATTCCCAGTCAGGGCATTTGCCCAGGTTGCAGGTTCAATCCCCAGTAGAGGGCGTGCAGGAAGCAGCCGATCAATGATTATCTCATCACTGATGTTTCTATCTGTCTCTCCCTCTTCCTTCCTCTCTGAAATCAATATATATATATATATATATATAAAATAAAAATAAATAAATATAATCTCCAACATCCTTAGGGATTGGACTAATATTAAGTTAATTTGTAGATAAACTTTGGTTATCTGAAATCTTTGGTTATCTGGACACTTTCTAAGAGATTAAAAGTTTAAAGATAGAAATTACAAAGGCAATGCAAAATAAGCAACACATATTTGGTCTTTGTAAAGCTCTAATTATGATGATAAATGTGATGTAGTACATTCATAGTTTTATATAAATTAATGACAGTTAATATATCTAAAGGCTGAAATTTAAGCTTTAAAATTTTCATCTCGTTTATATGCATTTGTGTACCAGTATGTTTACACTTACATATGAAGTTATACTAGAATTATGAAACTGAGAACCTTATGAATAATAAACAGAAAAAACTAACAATTCAGGGAGAAATGGTCTTTGCCTATTCAGTCTACTTTTTAAAAAAAGAAAAAAAAATCGTATCTTCTTATTTGGTAGCTTTTACAGAAAACAGAACATTCTTATCTGATAGAGAAGCTCCCAAATCTTCGCAGTTTTGTGCTGATTTTTTTATTCGTACTAAAATTTTTTACTTCTGAAAAAGTTGAAATTTCCAGTTACTGCTATGATTAAATGTTATTTCTGATTATTTATACAACTAAGACAATCATTTTTTTAGACACGAATGACTTATGTTTATATACTAATATTATGTTTTATAATTATTTTGATATTGATTTTCCCAAATCTAGTCTACATATTACAAAATAAAAATGTTAAAACAAAAAACAAAAAGATAAATACTAATAAATATATTATAGAACAATGCCAGAACCTCAGCATTTTCCAAATTCATAGATTTGAATAATAGTGCTAACTTACTTCTTCAGCAGACATGTGAAATCGTAAAACATTTGGCAGAACACTGCCATATTCCCACCTGAGTGCTCTAATCCGAAGCAATCGGTCATACCTAGGAGATTAAGAAGGTATTAGATGCTTAAAAACAGGGATATCAGAAGCTGTTTTGATCAGAAAAGACTCAAATTAATCTAAATGTACTACTAGTATGTGGACTTTATTTGGCTCCCGAGACAAACTGTGAAAACTTGCCATCTTGGGGACAAGGCAGAAAATAACAATGTTGATTAGATAGAAGTCTTATTGATTAGAGATGCATACTAAAGTATTCAGTGGTAAAAATGTCATGATGCTCTACAATAGTGTAGCATAAATAAATAAAACAACATAAAACATTTATGGCAGCCCAGCTGGCATGGCTCAGTGGTTGAGTGTCCCTATGAACCAGAAGGTCACGGTTCGATTCCCGGTCAGGGCACATGCCTGGGTTGCTGGCTCAATCTCCAGTGTGGGGTGTGTAATCCCCAGGTGTGCAGAAGGCAGCTGATCAATGATTCTCTCTCATCACTGATGTTTCTGTCTCCCTCTTCCTTCCTCTCTGAAATCAATAAAAATATTAAACAAAAAAAAACAAAAACAAAAAACATTTATGGCAAAATGTTAAAAAATTGTTACACATGTATGGTGGGTCCATGGGGGTTCATAACATTATTCTTCCTAGTTTATGAATATTGTAATTTTTCATAATAAAAATTTTAAAATGGAAAAAATAATTTAGAATGTTTATAGAGAGACAAATTTAAGAATTTCTGTTTTCCATTTGAAATGGTTAAAAGGAAACCACATGGAAAATGCTCCATTATTCCCTAACACCGAAGCAAAATCTGAGAGGCTTACAAGTATGCTATAGTGCAGCGTCGATTTCTTAGCAAAGAACAGTGTCGAAATTTGATGGTTGGTATCAAATCACTTCGTCCACCTGACTTCGCTTCATTCCTAGTAACATTTGAATAGGAAAAGAACAAATATGTCTATTTCAGTATAAATAAAATTTTTAAAGCCAACTAAAAACTAACATGTTTATTTCTCATTTTTTCTAATTCTTTATTGTTCCAAGTTTTATATGTCTTCTTTTTCCCCCAGTGACCTCTCCCCACCTGCTCCCACCTGCCAGCACATGCCCCCACACCCCTATTGTCCGTTGGTCATGCTCATATGCATGGATACAAGTCCTCTGGTTGATCTCTTACCCCACCCTCCCCTGCCTTCCCTCTGAGGTTTGACAGTCTGTTCAATGCTTCTATGTCTCTGGATCTATTTTTTGTTCACCAGTTTATGTTGTTCATTATATTCTACAAAAAAGTAAGATAGCATAATGCTCTCCAGGTCCATCCATGCTGTTGCAATGGTAAAAGTTCTTTCTTTTTTACAGCAGCATAGTATTCCATTGTGTAGATGTACCAGTTTTTTAAAAAATTAAATCTTTATTGTTCAATTACAGTTGTTCCTCATTTTTCTCCCCATAGCTCCCCTCTACCTGGTTCCCACCCCACCCTCTGCCCTTACCCCCCTCCCCCACTGTCCTCATCTATAGTTGTACGATTTTATTCCAGTCTCTTCCCGCATCCCCACACCCCCTTTCCCCACAAGAATAGTCAGTCCACTCCCTTTCTATGCCCCTGATTCTATTATCTTCACCAGTTTATTCTGTTCATCAGATTTTTTTGTTCACTTGATTTTTAGATTCACTTGTTGATAGATGTGTATTTGTTGTTCATAATTTGTATCTTTACCTTTTTCTTCTTCTTGCTCTTCTTAAAGGATACCTTTCAGCATTTCATACAATACTGGTTTGGTGGTGATGAACTCCTTTAGCTTTTTCTTATCTGTGAAGCTCTTTATCTGACCTTCAATTCTGAATGATAGCTTTGCTGGGTAAAGTAATCTTGGTTGTAGGTTCTTGCTATTCATCACTTTGAATATTTCTTGCCACTCCCTCCTGGCCTGCATAGTTTCTGTTGAGAAATCAGCTGACAATCGTATGGGTACTCCCTTGTAGGTAACTGACTGTCTTTCTCTTGCTGCTCTTAAGATTCTCTTTGTCTTTTGCTCTTGGCATTTTAATTATGATGTGTCTTGGTGTGGTCCTCTTTGGATTCCTTTTGTTTGGGGTTCTCTGCGCTTCCTGGACTTGTAAGTCTATTTCTTTCACCAGGTAGGGGAAGTTTTCTGTCATTATTTCTTCAAATAGGTTTTCAATATCTTGCTCTCTCTATTCTTCTGGCATCCCTATAATTCGGATGTTGGTACGCTTGAAGTTGTCCCAGAGGCTCCTTACACTATCTTCATATTTTTGGATTCTTTTTTCATTTTGCTTTTCCGGTTGGGTGTTTTTTGCTTCTTCGTATTTCAAATCTTTGACTTGATTCTTGCGATCATCTAGTCTGCTGTTGGAACTCTGTATAATATTCTTTATTTCAGTCAGTGTATGCTTAATTTCTAGTCGGTCCTTTTTCATATCCTCGAGGGTCTCACTAGATTTCTTGAGGGTCTCACTAAATTTATTGGCGGTTTCTAGAAAATTCTTGAAAAACCTTATAAGTGTGGTTTTGAACTCTATATCCAGTAGTTTGCTTTCCTCCATTTCTGTCATTTGTGACCTGTTTCTTTGTCTCCTTATTTTTTATGCTTCCCTGTGTTGATAGAGTGGCTTTCTGTGCTAGGTGTCCTATAGGGCACAGTGGCTCAGCCTCCGCAATTACCTGAGGTGGACACTCTTGGGGCACCCCTTTGTGGGCTTTGTGCACAGTCTTGTTGTAGTTAAGCCTTGATTGTTGTAGGTATCACTGGGAGGAATTGACCTCCAGGACAAATGGCTGTGAGAATCACCTATGTCTACGGTGGGAGAACTTCTGTGCTGGAGACACCCTTATGGGGCAAGGTTTGCTTCAGTGGGGCTTTGGTGCTCATTGAGTCTGCCTGCTAAGTGTGTCCCTTATGGATCTGAGGAGCTGTAATCTGGATGGTCCCACTCTGACCACTGGGTACACTGGCACTTGGATCTAAGGAGGTGCTAATTTAGCCTCTGCCTGAGGCTACCCAGCAGGAGCTACGGAGAGATCTCAGATTCCTCTTTTTTGTTTGGGATTTGGAGGTGCCCAGATGAGGCCCAGCTGTGAAGCAATGCAAGCTGCTGTGGGGCCTTGGGCCTTCTTTTGGATGTTCTGGTTTTCTCTGACCCAGCTGCAGTTTGTTAGGTAATTTTAGATTGCTGTACCAGTTTTTTAATCTACTCATCTGCTGATAGGCACTTAGGCTGTTTCCAAATCTTAGCTATTATAAATTGTGCTGCTATGAACAGAGGGGTGTACCTGTTTTTTTTGGTTTTATTAGCAGTTAACCTAAGCAGTACCTGCCTCTATTTCAGAGCTTTTATTAATATGTTAAAAGATAAAAAAGCCTAAAGCCAAATAATTTGCCTAAGATCAGGCTATCAGCATTTCATTTAACGATTTAATACTTTTGCATTTTTGTACACTGATTAATCTCCATTATTTCCAAAAGACAAACATTGGAATTCCTTTATCATCCTAGAATAAGAGACAAAATGAATGTCATGGTTCATAACATTATGATCCTCTATTATTTTGTTTTATATGTATTACTGCCCATTATAATTAAGTGAATAAAAATGGGAGTCAACATGGTCCTTCATTCATCCAACAAATATCTGTTGATCTTCAACAATGTGCATGTACTGCACTTCAATGTGCTTCACACAGAAAGAAAATTTTGGTTCTACCCTATGTACATCTCCTTAGATATTGGGCAAGTATGACATTTTAAAATCAAATGTACAATTACTTATGGGCATAGAATTTCATTATTACAAGATGAGGAGTTAAGAAGATGAATGGTGGTGATAGTTGCACATTACTAATGTATTTAACACTACTGAACTGTACATTTAAAAATGGTTAATATGGCAAATTTTGTTATGTATATTTTAAAAATTGGAAAAACAAAAACAAAACAAGACCAGATGTACAGAAAGAATAAGAACCAACTTTAGAGTTTTAAAAGGAACCAGATAAATATAAAAAACAACTCCTTCATGCAGTGTATGTTGCAGGCCCTGCAAACAGAGCCAAAATTTATGTGCCATCCAATCATGTCTTCTGGATCTGTTGTACACACTTCTAAGTCAGATTATTCGCCACACTGTTTACAATGTGCTCTGGATTACAAAGTAATAGTACAAATAAAATACATCTAACTTAACTTCAGAGTACTTTATTAAGTACAGAAGGATTTGCTAAAAAATTTACATTCACATGAGTAATTTAAAATAGATTTCCTGTGATAAATAAGTTTAACCAGAAACTGGTAATAGTGATTGTCTTCTTAAAAATAAACTAGGAGGATAAGGAATAGAATTTTGGGATTATGAATTTGCAAATGGTACAAATACAGGAAAATCATTCCCTTACTGGACTAAGGTCTGTGAGGCCACATCCAAACATGTTTTTTTAAAAAATATATTTCTTTATTGATTTCAGAGAAGAAGGGAGAAGGAGAGATAGAAACATCAATGATGAGAGAGAATCATTGATTGGCTGCCTCCTGCACGCCCCCCACTGGGGATCAAGCCTGCAACCCAGGCATGTGCCCCTGGCCGGAATCGAACCTGGGACCCTTCAGTCCCCAGGCTGACGCTCTATCCACTGAGCCAAGCCGGCCAGGGCCCAAACATGTTTTTAACCTGTTCACTTTTTATCTACTCCAAGTCACCTCTCCTGTCACCTAGATGACCAGCATGCCTCCCTCTCCTCTCAGCTTCTCCTTCCACTGTCCACATAGCAGTCAGTGTGATCTTTCAAAGCACAAACATGCTACCACCTGCCCCACACATTTAAAATCCTCACGTGGTGTCATGCTTTGCTTGCTTACAAGCTTAAGCCACACTGGCCTTCTTTGGCAGTTTCCTGAGCATCCCACCCTCTTTCATGACTCTGGGACTGTGCATATGCTGTTCCCTCTACGTGGAATGCTCTCTGCCACAATTACTACCTAGCTGAAAATCTGCTTCTCCTTCAGGCCTCAGCTGAAATGTCTCTTCTTTGGAAAGAAATTCTCAGATTCCTTGATCTGATTATATCTTCACTTCAGTGTTCTCTCTCCTAGCACTCTGTTGTGTTCTTTCATTGCATGTATCCCAATTTGGTTTATCTGTCTTCTGCATTAGACTGTGAGGGCCATAGCGACAGAAATCTTGACTACTGTGTTTACAACCAGAGCCATTTACCAGCACATAATTGTTCAATACATATTTGTTGGGTGAATGAATGAATGTCTCAGGAACTTCCTTTTAGGACTTTAGATTTACTGCAAATCTGTTGCGGTTCAGTCCCACATTCTATAAAGACTTTTCTGTATCCATTCTTAAACACTGTATTGAAAGTGTTCCTGTTGCCGAACCGGTTTGGCTTAGTGGATAGAGTGTCAGCCTGCGGACTCAAGGGTCCCAGGTTCGATTCCGGTCAAGGGCATGTACCTGGGTTGCGGGCACATCCCTACTGGGGGCTGTGCAGGAGGCAGCTGATCGATTTCTCTCATCGATGTTTCTAACTCTCTGTTCCTCTCCCTTCTTCTCTGTAAAAATTCAATAAAATACATTTAAAAAAAAAAAAAAAAAAAAAAAAAAAAAAAAAAAGTGTTCCTGTTGTTCTGTAAGCTCCACCATGCTACTGATTTGAATATCCAAGTAACTGATAAAAACATTGTACTTAACAAGGCCAAAGATGAAACCTCATGTCACATATAACTTCTCTCTAGTCAGTGGTCGGCAAACTCATTAGTCAACAGAGCCAAATATCAACAGTACAACGATTGAAATTTCTTTTGAGAGCCAAATTTTTTAAACTTAAACTATATAGGTAGGTACATTGTTATTTTTTTAAAAATATATTTTATTGATTTTTTACAGAGAGGAAGGGAGAGAGATAGATAGTTAGAAACATCGATGAGAGAGAAACATCGATCAGCTGCCTCCTGCACATCTCCCACTGGGGATGTGCCTGCAACCAAGGTACATGCCCTTGACTGGAATCAAACCTGGGACCCTTCAGTCCGCAGGCCGACGCTCTATCCACTGAGCCAAACCAGTTTCAGCATAGGTACATTGTTATGCAGGCACATCCCTAGTGGGAGTGTGCGGGAGGCAGCTGATTGGTGTTTCTCTCTCATCGATGTTTCTAACTCTCTATCCCTCTCCCTTCCTCTCGGTAAAAAAATCAATAAAATATTAAAAAAAAAAAAGAATTTGGTGTTTTAAGACTCTTTTGTGTCTTATTCTTCACCAAATCACAGGGACCTCTGAAGTTTGTTATACAGCCCAAATGCTTAGCTCTAACTAGTCTATAAATCTAGAGCCTTCTCACGTCCAATCTGTAGCCTTTTGTAGCCCTAGTTCTCAATGACCTTCACTCAAGCTACTGGAATCACTACTGTCCCTGCTAAGTTTACAAAATACCCATTCTCTCATTCTATAAGTGAAAGCAAGCAGTGGAAACCATACATTTCAGTTTGTTAGGGTTTTTATTTGCTCAACTCTCATCTCTTTTAGGTTTACCCTAATATCTTTCAAGACATATCAGTCAAATAACAAATATTTATCGAGCATGTACCATATACCAAGCACTACCTGAATCCCTGTGAAGCAGCGGTTCTCAACCTGTGGGTCGCGACCCCTTTGGCGATCGAACGACCCTTTCACAGGGGTCGCCTAAGACCATCCTGCATATCAGATATTTACATTACGATTCATAACAGTAGCAACATTACAGTTATGAAGTAGCAACAAAAATAATTTTATGGTTGGGTCACAACATGAGGAACTGTATTTAAAGGGCCAGAAGGTTGAGAACCACTGCTGTAGAGATAGCCATAATGAACACAAATCCCTTTAATACTGTATACCTAGAGTATAATCAGACTCGGAATTTTAAAAAAAGTCACATCTAAAAACTGATGTAAGATTATCTTTCAATATCACATTTCTTCAATTGTTTTAAAATATGAATTTCATCAAAACTTACACATCAGACTGGTTTTGTTCATATAAAGCTTTCATCTCCTCCAGAACTTGCCTGAGTCCATCCTCCTGGAATATACAAAATGATATTGATCCAAATTCATTAATTCCCCCACCAAGTCTGCAGCAATATTCTATCTATTCTATGTTTATATTTGATTTATATATCTTATCAAAAAGCAATAGTCCTTTCACACCTACTATGATGGCTATAATAATAAGTGTTGGCGAGGATGGGAAGAAATTAGAACCCTCGTACATTGCAGATTGGAATGTACAATGGTACAGCACTGAAAAAAAATCTAATGGTTCCTCAAAAAAGATAAACATATTACCATATTAACCAGCAATTCCACTCCTAGGCATATACTCAAGAGAATTAAAAAACATAATCTTACAAAAACATGTACACAAATGTTTAAAACAGTATTATTCATTATAGCCAAAAAGTTGAATGTATTCCCTGATGAACTGATAAACCAAATATGGTATATCCATTTGATGGAATATTATTTGGCCATAAAAAGCAATGCGGTTAGCTCATAGACACAGACAACAGTGTGATGATGACCAGAGAGAGGCGGGGCAGGGTTGGGTGGAGGTGGATAAAAAGGGTGAGAATGGGGGACAACAAAAAGCATAATAGAATGGAAAAAAACACACAAGACAAAACAAAAAAAGCAATGCAGTATATGCATCAACATGGATCAACCTTGAAAACATTACGCTAAGTGAAACAAGCCAGACACAAAGGACAAATATTGTATGAGTCCACTTATCTGAAATATCTAGAATAGAGACAGAAAGAATGGAAAACAACAGTTTAAACATCGCAGGATGATAAAGACAACAAGAGATCACATAGATCAAGTGTTCCACACCCTGACTGGGGTAGTAGCAATAAAAAAACAGAAAAAAACATAACAGTTATTAGCAGCAGCAGCAGCAAGACTTAGTTACTTCTGTGTCAAGTATTGTTCAGGGACCCTAAGTATACCATCTCACTGAGCCCTCTCTACACCAAGAACCGGGCAGTTTTTATCATCATCCCCATTTTCCCAGAAGAGGAAACTGGGCACACAGAAAGCTTGAGCAACTGACCCCAAGTCACCAGACAGGGCCAGAATCCCAGCCTGGCTCCAGAGGCTTAGCTTTTTTTAAAATTTTTAAAAGTACTTTTAATCCTCACCGGAGGATATTTTTCCATGGATTTTTTTAAGAGAGGGGGAGAGACAGAGAGAAACATAGATGTGAGGGAGACACACTGATTGGCTGCCTCCTGCACGCACCCTGCCCTGGGGCTGGGGATCGAGCCTGCAACCAGGTACGTGCCCTTGACCAGAATGGAACCCGGGGAGCCTTCAGTTCGCAGGCCGACGCTCTAGCCACTGAGCAACACCGGCTAGGGCAGAAGCCTAGCTTTTGCCGGGCGTGCACAGCAAATGCTAGATGACCAGGCAAGCAATAAACGTTTGGATAAGCAAAGAACACCAACACGCCCATCCCGTCCACCCGGTCCCCCTCACATTGAAGGCCAGCAGCTGCCCTTCGGGCGCCCGGTGCAGCTCGCGGACCAGCTCAATGGCCCTGTCGCAGAACATGGCGCAGTCGCCCCAGGCCCGTGGCCTCGTCAACTGCCCGCTTCACGCCAAACGGTCGGTCAGCTCTCGGCCGCAATTCTCAGATCCCGCAGTTCCAGGTCCCACCGCTCCGGATCGTAGCCTGCGCCTCCGATCTGCGCTTTGGCGCCAAACGCGCCCAGCCAATAGGAGCACGCCGATGAGCCTCCTGGCCTACGGCGGCCGTAAAGGGACATTAACCTCCACCGCGCAGCCGCACTACAAAAAGAGTCCTTCCCTGGCGAATAGGGGACAGCGGGCGGGCCATTGTTGGAGCCTGTAAACTGAGCAGATTTCTTTTCGAATTCCCAAGCGGTTAAGCAAGAAACTAGGAGCGCAGCACAGCTTCACATAAACGCATGTTGGTCAACTTCCTTTTCCTATTTGATTAATTCATTTTCATTTAGGTTCAAAGAGGTGTGCACTTTGAGGTTAAGGAAGGCTCAGCCCTGCCTGGCTCAGTGGTTGAGCGTGGACCTAAGATCCAGGCTTCCCAGTCAGGGCACAAGCCTGGGTTTGGAGCTGGATCCCCAGTAGGGAGCGTGCAAGAAGCAGCTGATCAATAACCCTCTATCATTGATGTTTCTCTCCTCTTTCCCTTCTCTGAAAGCAATAATATATATATATATATATATATATATATATATATATATATATTTAATTTATTAAAAAGGCTCAGAAACTTGGTGTGCATTAACCTTTTTTTAATATTGGTTTTTATTTATTTAAATATATTTTATTGTTTTTTTTGTTGTTTGTTTTTTACAGAGAGGAAGAAAGAGGGATAGACAGTTAGAAACATTGATCAGCTGCCTTCTGCACACCCCCTACTGGGGATGTGCCCGCAACCAAGGTACATGCCCTTGACCGGAATCGAACCTGGGACCTCTCAGTCCGCAGGCCGATGCTCTATCCACTGAGCCAAACCAGTTAGGGCAGCATTAACCTTATGACACAGCATTTCCTTTGTTTAGTTTTGCAGTGTGGGTGTTTTGTTTCATAGAAAAGGAAAACCAACTTTTATTGGGCATCTCCTATGACTATGTGGTAGAGGCGATGACATATTTCATTTGCTTCTCAGGATTAACCAACCCTAAGGTGGTTTTTTCTTTTTTTTTTAAATATATTTTATTGATTTTTTACAGAGAGGAAGGGAGAGGTATAGAGAGTTAGAAACATCGATGAGAGAGAAACATTGATCAGCTGCCTTCTGCACATCTACTGGGGATGTGCCCGCAACCCAGGTACATGCCCTTGACCGGAATCGAACCTGGGACCCTTCAGTCCGCAGGCCGACGCTCTATCCACTGAGCCATCAGGATTAACCAACCCTAAGGTGGTTTTTAAGACTCTTGGTACTGAATAGGAAACAGAAGTTAGGTAACTTGCTTAAGGTCACACAGACCGTGTACTTAAGCTTTCGACTCCACGGTACCACCTTTGGTATTAAAGTAGTCACTGCAGCCCTAGCTGGTTTGGCGCAGTGGGTAGAGCACTGGCCTGTGGACCGAAGGGTCCCGAGGTTTGATTCCGATCAAGAGCGCATACCGTGGTTGCAGGCTCCTCCCCAGCCCAGGCCTTGGTCAGGGCTTGTGCAGGAGTCAATCAATCAATGTGTATCTCTCACATCGATATTTGTCTTTCCCTCTTGCTTCCACTCAATGGAAAAAATATCCTCGGGTGAGGATTAAAAAAAAATTGTAAAACAGCTCTAGTCACAAGGTCTACAGAGAGGGAAAAATGCCCTAGATTATAACATCAATTCACGTAGCCCTATTCTTGTTTACATAATTATGGAAATTTTCATAACCATAAGATTCAAAAGGTAAGAATTACTGCTATAGAAAATTCATTTTTGGCCATTTTTTTAAAAAGCAGTATTTTTTAATGAGCAATATTACTTGGATTCATTCTAGCTAACCTGAGAAACTATGTTCCTCTTTTGCAAATATACAATGGATGTATGATCTGACAAATGAGCATGGGGATGGCCTCTTTACATTGAGTGCTATTTCCTCTTCAGCTCTACAGTAAGGGATAATTTAGCTAAGGGTTTTTATTAAATACACAGTTCTATAGTGGACTGTGATCCAAAGATCAAAAGCATCCACAGCTTTCCTTTGCCATAAACCTTTCTAATTCTGAACCTCAGGCCTGAGATTCACTCCCTTACCTGTACAGTGTGGACAACGGTATCTACTTCTGAGGGGCTATGATGATTCTTTATTCCTTCAGCTAATACTTATGTGTCTACTATGTAGTAGACATTGTTTTAGACACTGAAGATAAAGCAATGAACAAAGTCCTTGATCTTAGCCTATATTCTAGTGTGGGGAAACAGCAACACACAAATACAAATACATTGATCAATATATTAGTGAAAAGCTTGAAAAAAGAAAAAAAAAAGACGTTAAAAATAAGCCAAGGAAGGTGAGCAGAGTGATGGTGAGAGGGCCTCGGGATTCTGAGTTAGTGTTCAGAGAAGGCACAGACCTGAAGTGGGGAAGGGAGTAAGCCATTGGGAGGGCAGAAAATTCAGGCAGCAAGAATGTAGGGCAAAGGCCTCCGAGGAGGGTTGTGTGGTGGCTGGCACGCATGCCACCCACACCCCTCCTGGGGGCCCCTGTATCAGCAAGGAGGCAGTGATGCTGGAGCAAGATGAGCAACGGAGAGGCTGTTGGCTAAGAGCAGATCCAGGGCTAGAGGCTCTTTCCTAAACGTTGATTGTATTTTCAGTGAGATGGGGAGCCATTGAAGTGTTTTGAGTGAACAAGTGATAGAACTGAACCTAGGTTTTAAAAAAGACCTTTGTTAAGTAGACAGAAACGGGGCAAAGGTGAAGGCAGGAGATCACTTAGGTTATTAAAATCATCCAAGTGAGAGATGATGGCAGCTTGGTCCAGGTGACGGGAAGTGGGTGGACCCTAGGTAGATTTTGAAGGGAGATCTGACAAGTGGTAGACGTGATGTGGCAAAACGGGGGAGGAGTCAAGGATGATCCCAGGGTTTAACCTGAGGAACTGGAAGGAGGGCCTTGTCACCTGCGGTGGGGAAGGTTATGGATGGAGCTGGGGTGGGAGAAGGGTAGAGCTCAGCTTTGAATATAATTTTAGGTGCCTGTAGGATATGGACAAGAGATACAAATGTCGGTGTCACCAATGTGGTATTGAAAGCCTGGATAACACCACTCAGAAAGTAAGTGTGGTCCAAGAGTTGAGGACTCTATGGGCAAGGCCTGGTACCAAGGACACAGTTCCCCTTACGCTCTTATCTCCAGCCCTACCTTCCTAGCTTTTTTTTTTCCTATTAAAAAGGATTCAATTGAGTATTAAAGTGGAAAAAAATTATTTACTGTTTAGTTGCTGGATTCCCAATCTCCAGTATGTGTTGCTATATCACTTTAAAGAATTCACCATTTAAATTCCAAAAGTATGTTTGGACAAATATGAATGATGGCTGTGATTATTTAGTAATATGATCAATGAAACTGTTTTGCAATTTCTAAGTATCAGTACAGGAGCTACTGAATTTCTTCAAGAATTTCTAATTGATCTTAAATGATCAGTTGCCAATAGTTTTCACTTACACAAATGTTGAAATTCCAAAAGTTACTTTGGAATAAGTAAGCAAATCTCTTGGTTGCAGATCGTTTGTAAAATATTACTACCATGTTAAAGGAAGCAAAAGCTATAAAACCAAATTTGTGACACTGCTCTCTTATTTTCTTCTCTTTTTAGGATGGGTTGAGTTAGTACTTAGTCTTTCACAAATGGGAATTTACCTTTGAAATAGATTTTCCGCCATCAGCTAATTCCAGTTGTCTTAGAAAAATATAAAACCTAATGCAGGTTTACAAAAATAAATTGTTTCAGGCCCAAAGCAAAAATTAAATATCTATACATTTGCTTCCAATTAAAATAAGACTACCTGAAAGCATTTAAAAAAAAACCACATTTCTTTATTGATTTCAGAGAGTAAGGGAGGAGAGAGATAGAAACATTAGAAACCTCAATGATGAGAGTGTCATTGATCGGCTACCTCCTGCACGCCCCCTACTGGGGAACGAGCCCGCAACCCAGGCATGTGCCCTTGGCCGGAATCGAACCCGGGACCCTTCAGTCCGCTGGCTGACGCTCTATCCACTGAGCCAAGCCGGCTAGAGCTGAAAGCATTATTTTTTAAAGTAAAGTCCTGGTGGGGGAATGGTTACAAATCATTAGAAAAGAACTGTTACTTTGTTACCTTTTCCTTTTTGTTCTTATAAATCTTTACAAGGGCATTTCCAAGGAAAGATACAGACTGGGTTTCCAGCCTTGGGGGCAAGTCGGGAAGCCTGGGGTGGGAGCGGGGGAGCTAACTTCCTACTGCGGCTCTGGCTTGGTGGGCGCTCCCTTCCCGGCCAGCGTCCTCTCCGCTCGGCCACTGACCGCCGGACGATGCAGGGTTTCGAGCGACGGAGGCCCCACGGGGCACGAGTCAGCCGCTCCGCCGCCCTCAACCAGGATGCACCGTGCGGCTACATCCGCCCTCTTCCAAGATGGCTTCCGGTCGGCGCAGGGGACTCTGGGTGTGCTCCGCGCCCAGCGGGGGAGGAGGCGGGCCGGGGCGGGCCCGGCGGAAGCTGCGCGCTGATTGGCCCCCGCGGCCCGTAGCCGGCTGCGGCGACTAGGAGCTGGAATGTGAGGGGCGGCGGGCTCCCGGCGGCGGCATCTCCTGGAGCGGCGGCGACTGCGGCGAGGGCGGCGCGGACCAGGCCAGCTGCGCTCGGTGGCCGGCCGTGACGGCCGCGGGATGAGGAAGCGGACGGAGCCCGTCGCCTTGGAGCATGAGAGCTGCGTCGGCTTGGGCTCGTCTTCCTCCGGCTTGACCGCCTCGGTGCTGGACGCCGACTGCCGCCTGAAGCGCAACTTGCGTTTGGCGGGCAAGGCGCCGGCTGAGCCGCGCTGCGCCGCCGACGCGGGCATGAAGCGAGCGCTAGGCAGGTGAGGTGAGGTCCCCGCATAAGTTACCGGCCTGCGGGAGCGCCCCACACCGACCCTCCATCCTTCCGGAGGCCGCCTCCGACCTCCCGACGCCCTCCCTCTCCTCTCCGGTCCCTGAACCCCTGCATCCCTTTCCCAGGTCCCTACCGGCAGGAGCGCCCCTGCCAGCGCCCCAGCCCCCGAGTCGTCTTCTGGCCCCCACCCACCCAGCGCTCCAAATCCAGCCCCGCACCCCTACCCTTTCCCCGGTGAGCCCTTAGGGACCCCTTCAGCTACGAGCTGGACTGGACGCGCGTCTCCCGGGGAGATGGAGAGGCTGGGAAATCACGGCTCCGCGCGGGAGAGGAGGAGGATGGGGGCGGGTGGGCGCCGGATCCGAGAGCTTTGGCTCCGCGCGGATCTCCTCCTCCGCCTCGGGCTCAGCCCAGCGCCCCTCTCACCAGGCTGGCCAGGTGCACGGAAGCCGGCGGGGACCCCGGTTCTCACCGAGTGAATCCTTCTAGGGGGACTAGTGGTCAGGAGCGGCAGTCCTGCTCGGAGCTGCCGGACCTTTAGGGAGAAGTTCAATGGGCTGCTGTGCCCGAGGGGGAGGACGGATGCCCCGCATTCCCAGCTGTTGGAGGGAAACCTGCCGTGCGCTCTGCAGTTGGCTCCTCGTGCTTGAAATTTGCCCGCTTGGGTGTCTCCCGGGAAAGGCATTTGGTTGGGTTTTTTGCCTCTTTGTAGAGAAATACGTGGAATGTAAAACTGATTTCAGAATTGAGATAGTGTATTTACCGTGACCAAATTTCTCTTCCCATAAGCTGGTTTCTTAACTATCTGGCTGTTTGTAGAACGTATCGTTCACGGCAGTTTTGAAGTCCTGATGTTTCGTGGTGTTGGAAGAAGGTGGTGTGTTCTCAGGTGCTGTACCAGAGTCATTTCCTCCAGGGCGAACTGGAATGCCCTTAATTGACATTGGCCACTTCGGTGTAAAATATTTATTCAAACAGTCCCTGAAAATATCAATTGCCTAAAATATGAATTGTTTTAAAATATGAATGTTTGGGTAACTAAAAACAGTAGCTCCTTCAAAATTCAATTTTATTTTTTAATCATGAAATTAAACTACGTACTCCTCTAAGTAAGTGCTTCCCATAGTCCTAGAAGGGCAAGGAACGACAATATTTTTGATTAAAAAAAATCATGATTAGCTTTACTGCACTTTTATGAACATGCTTAGCATAACACTGAGGTAGGTTGGGAAATTCTTTAAAGAAATCAAAGGGTGATGCACAGTAATGTTTGGAGAAACAATGCTGACTTGATACCTTCCTTGAAAGATGTGCTATATTAAAAGGATTTGTATGGGGGACAAAAGAGAGACCTTCAAGTGGTGTTCCTGTCCTCTGGATGAACAAAAGGCTGTTAGGGGAATAGAGAGAAAAGCGGAGGGCAGAAAGGGCAAATTTGTGTGTTATATACCATGGCTTCCTTCCCTTGCCTGTAATTCTCCTGGGCATTATCCTGCTTTGTTTTCTCCTGTATCCGGGTCTTTGCTCAATTGTCACCTCCTCGGAGAGGCCTTCCCAGACCGGCACATCCAAAAGAGCGATCATGCCACCCCAACCCCCTTATTCTGTTTATTTTCTTCTTCACTGCATTTATCCCTTACCTGACCTTGTAATTGCCTGCATACTTGACTTGCTTTGTGGGTTGTCTCTTCCCTCATAAGAATGAGAGCAGGGATATTGTTTTCTCCATTTCTGATCTCCAGTGCCTGGCACACAGTAGGTGGGAGAAAATACTTGCTGAATTAATGACTAAGATAAATACCTAGAACTGGAATTGCTGGGCCAAGGTTGTGTGTTAACTTTGAAAGGTGATGCCAAAGTGCCTTCCAAAGAAGTTGTGATCTGTAACTTCCTCCAGCAGTGTCAGCTGCCACCCCAAGTATTGAATAGTACCATGTATTTTTATCTATTCTATTTGATTGAAGAAAACTACATCTGATTTGTAGCATTAATTTGCATTTCTTAATTGTGGGCTGGCCATTTTTGTGTGCTTTTATAAACTATTATATACCTTTGGGATTATTTACATCTTTTAAGATCCTTCTTTGTTTGGGGTCCTCCTACACATTTCTTTTACCTCTCTATTGTGTACATGTTCAAATATACAAAAGTAGAGAAGACGGTATAATGAACCTCTATGTATCCATCACTTCATTTCAATAATTTTCCATATTTGTCTTTCTTGGAATTATTTATTCCTCCTCTCCATTTTTTGCAGGATGGGAGACTAGACTATTTTATTTTATTTATTTATTTTTTATTATTTTTTTTTCTTTCTTTTTTTCCTTTTTCCCCCCCCCACCCTTAGACTAGACTATTTTAAAATAAATTATTTCATCTATTAAAATAAATAAAATTATTTCAACTATAAATATTTCACAGTATGTCTTGAACAAATAAGGACTTTTGAAATAAAATAACCCCAATGCTATTATTTATCAAAATTAACAAATTATCTGTAATTAACTTAATATTATCTAATAGTCTACATACATCTTTACAGTTGTCTCAGAAATGTCTTCTTTAGGTTGATTTGTTTTTAAATCCTGTACATTTCTTAAGTTTATTCCAAGTTGGTTTTTTTTGTTGTGATTTGAAATAGGATCCTCTCTTATATTACATACTGTTATTAGTTGTTATTTAATAATTTTATAATTTGCAATTTACATAATCTTAATTTCTAGTAATTTTTGCAGTTGGTTCTCTTGGATTTTCCAGGTATCTTATGTTGTCAGCTGCAAGCAATAAGAATTTTGTCCCTTGTTTTTAATTTATATGTCTCTTGTTTCTTTTTTAATTATTATTACATTGTATTTCCAGAACAAGATTAAATAATAGGGATGATATTGGGTACCCTTGTCTTGTTCCTGATTTTAATGAGCATGTTTTTAGTGTTTTTGCCACACTAGTTATTTTACTAAGGGGTGTGTTGTTGCTGTTTTGTTTTTAATAAAAAATGGTTGTTGAGATTTATCAAAGGCTGTTTTAGCATCTATGAAATAATCATATAGATTTTCTCCTTTCATTTCAGTTGTAGTAATAGACTTTATATTACTGAATCATCATTATTGAATCATCAGTGATAACTCTGTTATTGTGTAGTCGGCTACATTCTATTTATTTTACTTGGTAGTTTAACACTATTATTTGTGAGACTAGTCTGTAATTTTCTTTTTAATGCCATTTTTATCAAGTTTTTTCAGTATTTTCTATTAAAAGCTTTCTCTTTCTTTTCATTAGCCAGTTTAAATACTTTTAAAATGATCTGTTTCTTTAATTTTGGTAGAATTCCCCTATAAAACTACCGATTTTTTAGAGTATAAGCAACTTGAATAACTATTACAGTTTCTTACATTTCTTATTTCTTTCTGGGTTCGTTTTGGTGATATATATGCTCATAGAAAATCATTAGTTATGTCCAGATTTTCCTCTGTACCTGGGGCTGTTTCCCTAGTCTTGTTCCCCATTTTGTATAGCTCCCTCCTCTTTCCCCCTCCCCCCTTGATCTAGGCTACATGTCAATGTAAGAAACATTAAACTTATGAAGAATTTTTGTGAGTTTATTTGAGCCAAACTGTTGACAATCGCTGGGAAGCAAAATCTCAACAGACTGAGATAATGCTTCAGAGCAGCGGTTGCCAACCGGTGGTCCATGGACCACTGGTGGTCTGTGAGGTCCGAAAGGTTGGCGACCGCTGCTCCAGAGAATGGCAGTTTTGCACCTTGTTTTATATATTACCATCAAAAGAGGAGATGTAAGTGGGTTACATGAAATCCATTGGTGATAGATTAGGGAGATGGAAGAAAGCAAAGTGGGAAAACCTCTTGGATTGCATGAAAAGTAAAATGATAGACACATACAGCTTTTACATAGGTGGGTACAGGATAGTTAGCAGTCAACAACATGATAATAACAATGAGAGGCTCTGTGGCCTTCATGCTGGTGCATTGGCTGTGCCCTGAGGGGTCTGGAAAAAGGGGAGTTACCCTGACATTTCAAAGGAATGTTATCGTAGATGCAAAAGACAATAAACTGGCTTAGTTAAGGTAAAGATTGACTGCCTTTTGCCAGGGAATATTCTAGCCTAGGACATGACTACCTGCCATAAATTGCTTTCAGTTAAAAAGTTTTAATTTCAGACCATCCTTTGTGTTTACTTTAGGTCTCAGAGTTTACAAGGCCTTCTCTGAGCATGGCACCTTTTTGTCCATACAGGTACTGATACACCTACTACATACCCATGCACCTGTCATCGGATAAATCAGTGAGCCAGATTTCCCAGGCACAAGTGGGCATGAGGTTCTTGGGGTACTGCTGAAGTAAGCATTTTCAGGAGCCCCCATGGGAGAATGAGATGTGGTAGAAGGCTTTATTTGCATGGAGTTACATTCCTTGGGTTGTAAAGTCCCATGTCTATTAAATCAGTCCTGAAAGAGGTGCAGCTGGGGTTCCAGCACAGCCAAAAGCAATGCTAGTGTCCATCCAGA